TTTTGAGAATGAAGTACAAATGCGCTTTACACAATTGATGTGTGTATGGATTGTGATAAGAGTTGTATGAGCCCCTAATAAAATGTTTAAAAAGAAAAATCGGGGGAAAAAAAAAAAGATTAGAGTTGTGTTCTAGTTTGTTCAACCATGTGTGAAATTTGTACAGGGTTAAGTCATGTTCTCAAAGGAGTGTGTATGCATTATTCTGATGTTATTTGGTTCTAGGAAAACCTTCCTGTCACAGAAGATAACTTTGTGAAACTTCAAGTTAAAGCGTGTGCTCTGAGCCAGATAAACACAAAGGTATTCGAAGCATTTATGTTGGCCAAAAGTCAAATGAGAATTTCATATTGTATTTTATTGTATTTAGTATATAAATATATTTAATATACAGATATATTAGATGGATAAATGACTTTGGAATACCTCAAAATAATTAATGTCCTCAAAAGAATAGAAGAACTAGAAAGGAAAAATTAATGTATATTTAAGGGTACAATAAACTATAGTATTCATTTTTTAAAAACTGAGTTTATCTGCTTTATTTATCATGGCACTTGAACTTATAGTTAATTTCACATTTGCAGAGGTTCATGGATTTCATGTCAATCGTTGTGGGATTGGACAGGGAGAGAGTTTTTCTTAAGGCAAAATATTAGTCGAATTGAAGTCATGTATTTTTTATAATATGAAAAGAATTTACAAGTGATTGATGATGAAATACTTGGAAAGTCTGCGAATGTTAAACGATGAATGGCTGTGTCATAAATAGAGCTGGTCCGTTCACTCTTTAAAAAGTGAATGCTTTTTAAATACAGTTTACTGTATCCTTCATCGCTTGGGATGATGTAATAAAACCTATAACAACATAACTTTGAGGAATCAGAAGCTTGCCCCTATGAAGCGACATGCAGAGGAATTACAGAACTAGGCTGCCAGGACTTGCTGAGCAACGGCAGAACATACATGCAATCGGAAAGGTGCACCCTTGGGACCTGCTCAAGGCCCTTCCCCCAATGCAAGCACTTGTCCTTGCTTAGAGTTCCGTGCTCAATCCTTCGAAGGCATTTTTTTTTTGTTTTTTTGTTTTGTTTTTTTTCGAAGGCATTTTTTACAAAGCTATGAAAGTCATTGAAATTCCAGTGTAGGACATAATCTCCATGTCTAATAGAAGGAAATGGTCGATTATGGTAAAAATCGGTTTAACGAAATACTGCACAATTTTTAAAAAAAACGTTTTAATTAGGTGGAGGTTTACATAGATCATCATTTTTGCATTCAACAACTTATCAAATTTCCCTGTGGCTTCCCATTCCCACCCACCC